AAGAAGTAGTGCTGAAAGTTAGGCAGTTCTAGTCCTCCTTTATCCTTGGTCTTTTGTAGTGTTTTTAAGCTTATACGTGGGGGTTTATTTTTCCAAAGGAATTTGGACATACATGAATCTAGAGGAAATTGTTCTTGAAAGTACACTGTAGCTGTGTCCCAAAAACTAGGCTGCATCCTTCGGAGGACCCGGCCTTTGTGCTCTACACGGGCCGGGTCCTTCAAAGACTGAGAAGGCTGGAAGGGCGAGGATGTGAAATGGGATGGTCTAGCCTTCAGAATTGCATCACCAGCTGTCTCGGTGGAGTTTAATAAACTCAGCCATCTGCTCCTCGCTTGCTAATATATAACAGGACATTGGAGTAAATCCTCTACCATTTCACACTTCTAATTGATCAGTTTTCTGTTTCATGTTTACTCAGCTGTGTGAAAACTATGACTAAAACTATAATCTCAGCCAAAGCGATTTACTCACGAACTTGACTGCATGCTGAAGTGGAAACCCCTAACCCTACACAAGTAAATTTAAGTGTTTGGAAAAATTTCTTTCTAAAAGTACTTTTATTGCACCGTGTTCATTCACTCATGAGCTGCTGTAACATGAATCAAATGGCTGAATAGCAACCTCAGCATTCAGTCAAGTTCTATAGAGTCTTACTAATTGTATTCAGGTGTGTTGCAACAGGGACACATGAAAAAGTTTCAAGACAGTCAGAAAAGATGTAGAGGAAAAAAACAAGAATGACTTCCCCCTGTAAAAACATTCCAGCTTTGGAGGCAGTGCCGCTGTTTCCCCTCTAGTGCATCTATTGTTCATACAGCGCCAAATCACAACAACAGTCACCTTCAGGACACCGGCCCTCGAGGACTGGAGTTCGAGACCCCTGACTTAGGCAGTATCATCAGAAGGAATAGCACCCAAATTTATCTATTCATGAAGCCAGATAACATACAGCAATTAATTAAACTGCAGGAATGTCTTAAAGACATAAAGACCTGGATGGCCGCTAACTTTCTGCTTTTAAATTCAGATCAAACTGAGGTTATTGTACTCGGCCCTGAAAATCTTAGAAATATGGTATCTAACCAGATTCTTACTCTGGATGGCATTACCTTGGCCTCCAGTAACGCTGTGAGGAACCTTGGAGTCATTGTTCACCAGGACATGTCCTTCAATGCACATATTACAAAAATATGTAAGACTGCTTTGTTCAATTTGTGCAATATCTCTAAAATTAAAAATATCCTGTGTTTGAGTGATACTGAAAAACTAGTTCATGGATTTATTACTTCTAGGCTGGACTACTGTAAAATCATTATTATCAGGATGTCCTAAAAACTCCCTGAAAAGCCTTCAGTTAATCCAAAATGCTGCAGCAAGAGTCCTGACAGGGACTAGAAAGAGAGAGCAGATTTCTCCTGTATTGGCTTCCTGTTACATCCAGAATTCAAAATTCTGCTTCTCACATACAAGGTCTCAAATAATCAGGCCCCATCTCATTTTCTTATAGTACCATATCACCCTATTAGAGTACTTCACACTCACACCATTTAAAAGTATTTAAATGGTGTGAGTGTGATAAATATATGATAAAGCATATATTTAGGGCTGAATCATATGAACTGATGTAGATGCCTGTTGTCTGTTCTAAAACTATAGTCGCAAAAGCACAGACTGTTCAATAATCAGTGCTTTAACTTACATAAGCCCTGTCTTTTCACACAGGCTGACCTGTGGATACATCAGAGACTTTATTCACTGTAGTCTTTTTAATTTTACTTAGAAATGTAAAAATTATTTTTGTAGAGCAGCAGCTGAAATGTTATGAAGAGTACTACGGAGGCTCTATTCAAAATCTGTTAGCCTATTTGGCCACTCAAAACACATTTGAAAAAGAAAATGCCTTTTTAGAATTTCAGACACAAAAAAGCCCTAAAATTTATTTGAACCCAAATCATTATTTTTTTTCCTAAACCTAACTGATTCTGTAGCCAACAAACTTCCCCCTGTGGTTTAGGGTTAGGAACTTGAACCTAGAAAACTGAAAATATATGAATATAAATTCAACTGAATCTATAACATGTTAGCACTGAAGGAAGCTGCAGGAAAGGTTTCTGGCAAAAAGAACGTACCCTTCTAACGGCACCTTTACCTGGTTACTTTGTGTGATAAATCATAAAATTTTAATTGCTGAAAGCATTTCTGTCATGCAACAATGACGAAAAGGTCCCAGTCTTTCTTCCATTTCCTTTTTAACACTAAAATTAATTTGAAGTGCCATAATTCCAAGAACCTGCAAGCAGCACACATGAATCATTTTTTTGAAATGTAGAAACCACAAAAAAGGAAGCACTGTCAGACCAGTTCTCCCCCCAGTTTTATTGTTTAGTATTATATAATTTACAGATTTATAATAAATAACATAATTAGAAATACTGAAAAACCACCATTGCATTATATATGTTTTGTCAACATATATTAAAAAAATATTCATTTAATTACATTATGATTACTGTCATGTAAACTTTTCACCACAATCAAATGGTTCATTCCCTGGCGTCTCATGTGTCTCCTCAGACTTCCCTCTCGCGTGAATCTTTCTCCACAAATGCTACAGTGGAAAGGTTTTTCTCCAGAGTGGACTCTCATGTGTGTCTTCAGATTTGTGCTTTGGTTAAATTTTTGTCCACAAATATCACAACCAAAAGGTTTCTCCCCTGTGTGGACTCTTTTGTGGATTTTCAGATTTCCTTCTCTGTTAAATGTTTTGCCACACAAGTCACAACCAAATGGTCTTTCTCCTGTGTGAACGCTCATGTGACTTTTGTAATGAATCCTCTGCGTAAATCTTTTACTACAAATGCTACATTTGAATGGTTTCTCACCTGTGTGGACACTCATGTGTCTTTTCAGATCCCCAGGCTGTGAAAATCTTTTACTGCAAAGACCACAACCAAATGGTTTCTCCCCCGTGTGAATCCGCATATGCGTCTTGAGATTTGTGTTACGGTTAAATTTTTGTCCACAAACACCACAGCTAAATGGTTTATCTCCCGTGTGGACTCTCATGTGTCTGTTAAGGTTGTATTGATGTCTAAATATTTTTTCACAAATGTTACAGCGGAATGGTTTCTCTCCTGTGTGGATTCTCATGTGGGTCTTTAGATGTGCATTTTGATTAAATCTTTGTCCACAAGTATCACAGCCAAATGGTTTATCTTCTGTTTGGATTCCTTCTAAATCAGTTCGGTTCACTTTTAAGCATTTCTTATTAGCTAAACAGCATGAAGACCTTCTCCCTGAACTACTGATCACATGTTTCTGAAGAGACCGTTTACACTTTAAACCCGAATCAAGAGCCCTGCTGTCCTTCCCACCATTACTACTGACTTCAGTTTCTGGTCCAGAGTCTGTCAAAGGCTCCTGCCAATCATCATCATCATCAATACTGACTTCAGTTTCACAAGAGTCAGAAACTTTTCCATCAGTATTTTGTTTTAAATGACCAGACTGGTTTTTGTCAGGGTCTGGCTCTCCACAGTGCCCTCCATCAGTTTCTGACTTTATTTGTTTGTCTGAGCAGCTGCTTGGAGGCTCTGAATCATTGTTGTCTTGATTAAGTTGCGAGCAGTAAGGTTTCTCTTCATCATCTTCACTTTTCACTCGAATTGCAGTGACTGGAAACCTGGTAATATCAGTTTCCTGCAGCCCATTAAAGTGCTCTCCCTCACGACAGGTGAAGAGTTCCTTCTGTTCTGCCTTTATCTGGTAGAGGTCTGAGTCCTGCTGGTCCACAAAGGGGCTCAAGGGAAACTCCTCTTTAATCAGGAACGTCTGCTGACCATCTGCAGGGAACCCAGAAACACAAATGTCCATAGACTGGAGTATTTAGCATGTGTGGGTTCTTTTATTTTCAATATTTACTGCATTCTCCCTGTCACTCATCTGGCTATTTGCCTGTCCTCCCCAACTGATCTGTACAGCTTGACATGGCTTCAGTTAGAAAAAAAAAAAGAAGTCTATTTTAAGCAAATGGAACAGTGTGTCAGTTCTGGGATGTTTGTGAAACACATCTGTTGGAACGAGAAGCATCATCCTGGCCGTGTCAGAGCCAGAATGTCATGCAGCTGCAGACAGTGTATTTTTGGAGTAAATCCCCACTGTCAGAAAATCCCTAATGCTTTGGAAGAAAGCACAATTACCTGCTATACACTATTGTGAAAATAATGCGTTTTGATAGCCCATACGAGTTATATGTTAATACGCTACAACAAATGCAATTGAATGTGCTTCACTTACCTACTCTGTTCAAGACTTGTGTCTGCACCATTTCTGAAGCAGCTGATTGTGTCACGAGTGCCATCAAACCAAGACGTCTTGGTTCATCTGGTCGAAGGCTCTTAACTCCTGTGTGGATGCTCCTGTGTCTTTTCAAAATTCCTGGTTGTGAAAATCTTTTATTGCAAATATCACAGCTGTATGGTTTTGCTCCTGTGTGAACTTTCATGTGTGTCTTTAGGTTTTTCTTACAGTTAAATCTTTTACCACAGATATCACAACCAACCAGTCTCTCCCCAGTGTGGACCCTAATATGTCTCTTAAAATGATTCCTCTGTGTAAATTTTTTGCCACACATACTACAGTTAAAGGGTTTCTCTCCTGTGTGGACAATCTTGTGTCTTTTCAGGTCCCACCGTTGTGAAAATGTTTTATTACAAACAGCACAACTAAATGATTTCTTTCCAGTGTGGATTTTCAAATGTCTATAGAGATTATACTGATGTCTAAATTTTTTTCCACAAACGTTACAGCTAAATGGTTTCTCGCCTGTGTGAACTCTAATGTGTGTTGTAAGATTTGCTTCTCTCTTAAATTTATGTCCACAGACATCACAATCAAACAGTCTCTCTTCTTTGTGGCCCGCCATCTGTGAATGTGGATTTTGCTTCATTTTAAAACATTTTTTATTTGTCCTTTTTCCCAAATGACTTGTCACATGTCTCTGAAGAGTTTGCCTATAAAGGAAATGTTTACCACAGTCAGAGCAGTTGAAGGATGTGTTGGCACTGTTAAATTCCAGATCTTCATTTTTGCCTGACTCAAGTGTCCTGCTCTTCTTTCTACCATCATAACTGTCTTCAATTTCAGGTTTATGCAATTTATCACCAAAGCTGACTTCCATCTCAAGAGAATCAGGACTCTGTTGTGGGTTTGGGTCAGTGGCTGATCCTGGTCCTCCACAGTCCTCTCCATCAGTTTCTGCTTTTATTTGTTTATCTGAGCAGCTGGTCAGAGGCCTTTGATGAAGCTGCAAGGAGTCAGGTTTCTCATCATCATCTTCACTCTTCACAGGACTAATTGGAAACCTGGTGATATCAGCTTCAACCAGGCCATCAAACTGTTCTTCCTCACGTACCTCATTTTTGTGATGAAGGTCTGTGTCCTGCTGGTCCAGACTGGGACTCCAGCGAACCTCTTCTTTAACTGGCAACAGCTGCTGAAGATCTGAAAATTTTCCATTCATAGCAGACGATGGTGTGGCACTTCTCTCATAGCTGAATAAAGAAAAACAACAGGATATGTCTTAAAGTCACATACCATTTATTTAATTATGATTTATACTAAAAGGAACAATGGACTCATGTGTGCAAAAAACAGGAATAAATAACAATCACGGACAGATAAAAAGACACACACTGTGAATGTACAGCATCAGTTTTGTGTCTGATATGAAGGAAAGTCCACACATATAGAGATCTGTGCTTTGTCACTTCAGGACTGTGTCAGTAAAATACAACATGAAACATCTTTTGGGGAAATTGCTTTCTTTTTTTTGCATGACTCTGAATGTGTTTTTGGAAAAGCTTTTTTTTTTCTTAAAGGAGAAGAAAACAGAAAAAAAGTTATTAGTGCAGTGGTTCCCAAACTTTTTTTGCTAGGCCCCCCTTTGTTTTACAAGAAAAATGTTCGCCCCCCCCCCGCGCGCATGCACACGCACGCACTAACACATCCTCCAACCACACATATTTTGCTCCATTGCGGTTTATTTCACACCTCAAACATTTAGTAAACAATTAAGCAAATACAAGTAATGTGCAATAAACTACAGGTAGTAAGAAAATAAACTACTAACTCTTTTACGCTACGTCCACGCCTACACGGGTATTTTTGAAAACGCAGCTGTTTTGTCCACACGTAAACGGCGTGAATCACCGAAAACGGAGATTTTTTAAAACTCCTTTTTTGCGTTTACGTGTGGAGGAGGAATACAGAGTTTGTCACACAACATCAAAGGTATGTGCCTTTTTCACGTCACGCTGTGCGTCACGTTATTGTTTACATGAGTTGAATCGCAGAAAGGCAGATAGAGACAAAATACTGTTAATCTGACTATCTGCAGGTTTTACACGCTTACATACACACGCAGTTACTGTCCCTCCATTTACAAAGACAGAGGCATCACGGTGTGATTATTTTACTGTAGTTGTTTTTTTCCTGTGTAATAATATTCAACATTGCTATCAATACATTTTTT